CCTTACAGCTTCCATACAATTCACCTAAGGGACTTTCATTTATATCTATAACTGACCTAAGCCATTTAAAGACTTTAATTACTAAGTCCATGAAACATAGTTCATATGACACAATATCAAATGGTTTAAGCAATACAATTATCCAAAAGATATAAACTTATACATATCTTCCAACAAGAGCAAACAAACTTAATGGGTATATAGTGGCATAGACAACCCTTATGCTCACCTCTAATAACGACAAAATCCAATCAAGTCTAGCCTTAATAAAGTATCCTCATGGTAGAATGAATGATCATAATATGCATGACTCATAATAATAATGAAATCTCTATGTTGGCCTCTTGCCTCTATCAATGTCCGTCTGACGATCGTCATGTCCTGAAAATGTGCCCCAAAAAGGGGGAGATTTCTAACAGATGTCTCAGTAAGACAAGGGGTCCTCAAGGAATCCTCCACCCCAAGCTCACTTACAGGTATAATATAAGTTCTAAAACAATGCAAACAATATATAAAGAAATAACTTAATAACAAGATAAGGGGAATGGCTATACCGGGCCATTTATAGCAGTAACAATGCAGTACATACAATGAGCATGCCATGCAATATATCAAATGGGTGTGCAAGGCCACATATGTCCATGTCATGTGTGTATGCATCCTACTGGCCAGAGAATGAAATGTAGGGATTACATACGTCTACAACCTACAGTACAAGGACCCCGCTTGTACTCCACCCACAAAATCACCATCTTGTATGCTGTCACATACTCAGGATTACCGTCTAGGTTGTATACCACATACATATACATATGGAAAATGCACTATATCTTAATCCAGCTCAACAACATATCCAATACTCATAACATAAACAGATATAATTTCACAATTCAGCTCAACAGCTTATCCAATACTCATAACATAAACAGATATAATTTTGTAATCCAGCTAAATATCATATCCAATACTCATAACATAATGATTATAATTTCCATAAAATATACCATGCACATAAACCAATCCCCCATCGGGTTTGGTAGAACAAGCAACGGATAAAACCGAGGACCAAAAGCTTACCTGTTTCGGTAAAGTCCTTTAATAATAACTCGATGTCTGAGAGATCACCAATGCGGTATCCAACAATATCACAACCTATTTTAACAAGGTACATCTCATCAATAAATATATACAAAGACATAATGTCTAGAGGGACTCTATTTCTTTTTCGTTTCTTACGCTTAATGCTTTTTTCAAAGCCACAAGTGTGGGATACTTAAATTATGACTTCATCCAAATTTTACCAATGTCTACATTGACCTCCTTAAGTTTCTAAATCATTAATAAGGGTTCATGAGTCCTTTTATTTGAATACAATTCAAAGGAATGGGTTCCATTACCCGGTTTGACATTAAACTACCTTTACCATTTTTAAAACAAGTGTTGCACCTCTTTACCAAACGCTCTAATATTTTACTATGTTAAACTAGACATTACAATTTTTCCAACGACATATTATATGTCTCAATCGAAGTTCTATAACTCTGGTTATGATTTTCGCAAAGTTCCTACAACAAACTGAATTTCTAGCAATAGGGTCATGCCTTCAAACAAAAATCGCGATCAATACACATATTCAATGTATTTGAAAATATACAGATTTGTATCCCTATGTGTTAGATTCACATAGGTCCAAACCTCACTCAATTTGGAGCTCTATAGCTCGAGATATCGCGATTTTACTAAACTAGGTCGCTGTTGTCTCGCGAAGTATTCGATTACTGCATTTTTCCATAAAAGTATTCGAATACTGCTTGAAAAGTATTCGAATACTTCTTCAACAGAATGCAAAAAACTGAGTTTTTAATGTGTAATTGACCTCCAATGATCTCCCAAACTTGTTTAGTCATTTAATTAACATACCAATACGTTTTAAATATAAAAACAACTTCAAGACTCAACCTTTAATCTAAATCATACTTTCTATCATGAATAACAAAGGAAAGGTTGAGCTTTTTCACCTTTGAAGGTCTACACAAGAAGAACAAGATGATCCATGCCTTCAACAATGAAAATATTCCACTTTTACTCCATATGGCAGAAACGAAAATCACTCAAGATGATGTTTTTCTCTCTAAAACTCAAGACTTTAAGTTGTATCTATGATATAGTGATGAAATGTTAACTATTGATGGAAGCTCATGCTTGGTTCTTGGAAAGATAAAGAACCCTAGAGAGGAGAGGAATTTTCTGTCATGAAGGATGTTGGTGGCTGACTTAGGTTAGTAAGGAATGAGGAAGAGTGTGTTTTTAAGGAAAGTGAGGGCTTTTAGAGTAGTGCCACTTATTAAACTTAGAACACCCGGTATTAGTTCTATTACTTTCATTCATTATTTTTCTACCAAACTTCATATTCTTAACCTAGACATTTTTCTAGGAATTATCATATTTTTCTTATAATTTTTGCAGTACTTTTTCAGTATGCGTTTTATACATAGTCGGTATTAGTTCTGGCATCATCACTCATTATTATTACTCCAAACTTGATATCCTAGACTTAGATATTTTCTAGGAATATTTATATTTTTGTTATGATTTTTCAGAATACTTCACCAGTACACATTTATACCGCGAAGCAAAACAGGTATATGCACTTTTCATCAGAAAAGTGACTTAAGCATTATTCTAGCTTCTAGAGAATTATTTTACTATAATTATGCATAATCTTTATTAACTCCCTGCTCCGGCATCGATAATGTTATTTGGAAAAAACGTTAAAATATTACTATTTTAATAAATAATTACGAATACATAACTGTTTCGAAACTATCTACGGATCTATTGCACTCATTCATGCCCAAATTAAGCGTGACTATTCATGCCTAAGTTAGGCGTGACTCCCAAGGCATTCACGCCTAAATTAGGCGTGACTCGTCTGGTGTTGACACGTGGCACAAAAATTAATAGTTTAACCGTAAAACTTTATAAGGCCATAACTTTAATTGAGGTAATTCTTTTTTTGATTCCACATAGCTTTTCGAGATCTACGCAATGACATCTCATTTGATATATTTTATTTCTCACAAACAAAATTCAAATTTGCAACAATGATACTATAAAGATGGCACCAAAGTGGATTAACTCATCTATAAATAAGATGGCATCAAATTTCCTATTAAACACAAAACGTAATCAACTCCTATTAAATACAAAACGCAATCAACTCCTATAACATTAAATTCAAAATTCAAATAACCTCCAGCAAATTTATTTGAATTGGAGACAATCTGTAACCAACTCATAAAATTATAACGCAATCAGCTCCTATTAAATACAAAACACAATCTACTCCTATTAAATATAAAATGCAATCAACTTATTGGAGGTTATTTGAATTTTGAATTTTGAATTTAATGATATAGTACCATTATTGGGCGTGAATGAGTGCAATATATTCATAATTAGGTTCAAAACGGCAACTTATTCATAATTATTTATTAAAAAAGCAATATTTAATTTTTTTGCCTCTACCAAGTGTTTGAAAAAAAAATAGTGTACAAGGTTATTTATTTAATTATTAAAATATATACAAATTTATATAATATTCTAGCAAGTGTTTAGAATATTTATTTAATTATTTTCTTTATTAATACAGATTTTTCATATTGATTTTTGAGTTTAAATCACAAATTAAATCTTTATTTTGTTTTCTTATTAATAATAATTTTTTAAATTTTTTTGGTAATACACTATATAATACAATTATTGCAAATTTGAATTGTGTTTGTGAGAGATAAAATATATCAAATGAGATGTCATTGCGTAGATCTCGAAAAGTTATGTGGAATCAAAAAAAGAATTACCTCATTCAAAAAGTTATGGCTTTCCAAAGTTTTACAGTTCGTAAGTTGACTATTTTTGCCAAGTGTCAACACCAGATGATTCACGCCTAAATTAGGCGTGAATGCCTTGGGAGTCACGCCTAATTTGGGCGTGAATAGTCACACCTAATTTGGGCATGAATGAGTGCAATAGTTCCGTAGATAGTTTCAAAACAGCTATGTATTCATAATTATTTATTAAAATAGTAATATTTTAATTTTTTTTTGACCTTAAAGCTTAGTTCTTTACCAAGAAACTCAAGAATAAAGGATGGAGAGTGTACCCAAGGCTTCAAAAACAGAAAAGGAAGTGCCTTCAAGATCAAAAACCCCTACTTTGATTATGTTCAACAAAGTACACAAAGTTGGCTTGTTAAAAGTGAGTTCTTTCCTCCTAAAGGTGGCTTCTTGGTACTCCAATGGGTGTGAAAATGGCTCCAACCCACATAACAAAAGAGGACAGCCCATTAACTCTACAAAACAGCAACCATGGCACTCCAAGAATCGCCTTTTCCCTTGTAAGATGGTAGCTTTCTTGAGTTTAGAGTGATCAAGGAAGAAAAAAGTAGTGAAAGGTGAGAGATTGGGTAGTTTCAATGGAAGAGAGGTCAAGTAACTTGGAGAGGGAGAAGAAGAGAGGTCAAGTAACTTGGAGAGGGAGAAGAAGAGAGCTCTAGGTTTTTAGAAAGATGGTCTACGTAGGTTTAATAAAGTGTTATAGGAAATAAGGGTTTTAGTAATATTCAGCAGTCTAACTTAACATACCCGATATTAGTTACTGCACCTCAGCTAATTATTTTTCTCTCAAACTTTGTAATATTGACTTAGTATATTTTCTAGAAAAATTCATATTTTTTATTTTTATTTTTCGAGTCACTTCGTCTGTACGTATTTATACCGTGAAATACCCAGTGTTTACACTTTCATTTTGAAAAGCGACTTAATATTAATAATTATAATTTCTCTATAATTATCCTATGTTATTTATTTAATATTTTCTAATTTCATAATTAAATTATTAAAATTCCCAATTTAGTAGTGCAAGTTCTTACATTTACCCTAGCTTTTTAAAATTTTGTCCGCAAAATTAGAGACATACTTGTCCCTAAACTTGGAATATTGTCAGAGAAGCTCGTCGTCCCGCTCCCAAGTGCACTCTTCAGGCGTTCTGTATTCCCATTGTACCTTGACTATAGCAATGGTCTTGTTCCTCAGCTTCTTCTCACTATGATCAAGAATCTTGAGTGGTCCTACGGGAGTCTTAAGGTTCTCCCGTACTTCTACATCATCAAGTTGTACAATGTGAGATGCATAAGCTATGTACCTCCGGAGTAGAGATTCATGAAACATATCATGGATGTCGGCCAAGTTCGGAGGCAAGGCAAGCCGGTAGGTTATAGGTCCTACCCTACCAAGTTTCTGGTATGACCAAATGAATCTAGGGCTCAAATTCCTCACTCATAGGGCACGACCAACTCTAGTTACCGGTGAAAGTTTCACAAATACATATTCACCCTCGTTGAACTCAAGGGGTCGATGCTTATTATCGTAGTAACTTTTTTGCCAAATATGTGCTTGCTTCAACTTTTCTCTAATCTTTAAGATCTGCTGGGTAGTATCTTGGACAAAGTCCAGACCAAACAACTCCAGATCTCCAACCTCTGACCAATAAGTAGGAGTCTGACATCTCTTGCCATACAATTCCTCGTAAGGAGCCAGACCCAGGCTAGCATGAAGATTGTTGTTGTAAGAAAATTCCTCCAGTGGAAGGTGTCGATCTCATGTCTATCTTCGCTCCTAGGTGCAAGCTCTCAACATGCCTTCTAATGTCTGGATGGTCCGCTCAGTCTGTCTATCATTCTGAGGGTCATAGGCGGTACTCAGCCTCAACTGAGTGCCAAAAGCTCCCTGCAAAACCTCCCAAAATCAAGACGTGAACTTCAGGTCCCGATCACTAATGATATTCTTGGGCACCCTATAAAGCTTCACAATCTCTCGAACATACAGCTTGGCGAACTGCTCCATAGAGAAGCTCACCTTCACTGGAAGAAAATGGGAAAACTTGGTCAAACTATCCACAATGACCCAAATAGAGTCAACATCAGCCTGAGTCTTGGGCAACCCAACAACAAAGTCCATAGAAATGCTGTCATACTTTCATTGTGGAATCTCAAGAGGTTGACACAATGAATTTTATCCCATATAGGTAGTATCTCCATATCTTCAAGGCAAAAACAATAGCAGCCAATTCAAGATCATGAGTTGGGTAGTTCTCCTCATGAGACTTTAGCTGCCTCAAAGCATAAGTGACTAGTCTCTTTCTATACATCAACATGCAACCTAGTATCTTCTTAGAGGCATCACAGTACAACTCAAACTCCTCTTCAGGATCAGGAAGGGTCAACACTGGCGCAGTCGTCAACCTATCCTTCAACTCCTGAAAATATTCCTCACACTCATAGGTCACACAAATGAAGTCTCATTTCTGGTAAGATGGGTAAGTGGTAACACCATCTTAGAGAATCCTTCAATGAATCTCTGGTAGTAACCTGCCAATCCCAAGAAACTCCTAACTTTAGTAACAATTTTGTGTCTCTCCCAATCCATCATTACCTCTATCTTATTAGGGTCCACAACCACTCCTTCAATTAAGATGACATGCCCTAGGAATTTCACTTCTGAAAGCTATAATTCGTATTTAGAGGGTTTTGCATACAACTACTTTTCTTTTAAAATTCTTAGGACTATTCTCAAAATAGATCAAAATATCATCTAGAGGGTTGGTGTTTTATTCTTCTTCCACTGAATCAACACTACCATAGGCTTGCTTATATTCTTGCTCTCCACAGTTCTTATGATACATCAAGCAGATCAAGAGGTCTTCAGCAGGGTTGTAATGTGGCTTGGTTAAAGGAAGGGAAAGATTTTTGGAACGAAGCTCAATATTAAAAATTCAGATTCAGAAGAAAGGGATAAGTATAATTCGTTTCTTCTAGTTGTAACGCTTTTCTTCTTCTTTCCAGTTCTTTCTTCTCCTTCATTTGACTTTTTCTCTTTTGTCGTTCTCTTTTTAAGAACATTTTACCTTATTTTCTTTTCCCTTGTTTTTGAGTAATTTTTTTTACTCTTCTTCATTCTAACCAACTTTTCTTCCTTGGGCTTTGCCCTTTTCATTTGTACTTCTATTCATTGAACACTTGTGTAACCACAACTTACATCCACTCCTTACTTCAAAACTGAAAATTAATCTTCAATTAAGGTGAGGATTTATTTGGGGAAGTGGCTATTCACATTCAAGGGTTTTCACGAATAACAAGTCTAGGCTTAACTAAGGAATATCAGCAAAGGTTAGCTGTTTGGCCATCTAATTAAAGAAATAACATGCCTCTATCATCTCTACAAAATATATCACAGACCATTTCAATCAAGAAACAAAGCAAGTTCTAGAGTATTTCAACAGTGGAATGCACACTCAATAAAAATATTCTGTATAGGCTCAAAACCTCATGGCTATGAATGCACAGTAATTTTCCTGTTCTTTTACTCCAAAAAAAAAATTCATCACTAAAGAATGTATTCAATGAATCATCTCACTTATTGCAATGATTTTCTTAATGAAAAATTATATAAGTGCATCATCATGCTCTGAATCAATTACTAATAAAAAATTCATGCCATTTTTCCAATTAAAAATACTGAGAAAACTTTTCAAAATATTCAGAATTTTCACAAAACAGTGACTTGGGGTTTTTCAACAAAAACAATTCAAAAAAATTCAATTAAAAACATAAAAAAAACAAAATTAAACTTAAGGAAGAAAGGATTTGAGATAGTTCCATGTTTTAGCCAGATATTCTGTGTGTGCTCATGAAGCGCCTCCGGCTTATTCAATTGTGCTTAGATGAATCGCGTTTTCCCCATTCCCAGATTTAAATGTTGATGTCCTCAGCAACAGATTTAAATCTAAAAAGAAATCGCGTGAGAAATAAAAACAACTAGTCGTTATCTTGTTGTTTGTTCCCTTTTCTTCGCCTGTAAAATTCACTCAATGATAGCCATTAGTCTCAACATCTTCTCCTATATTTTTGTATTTTTTTTAATTCAAAGTAATAATAACTAAAATAGTGAAATTAAAATAAAACAGTAAAGTGTGGGTTTTCCTACCCATTAGCGCTTGTTTAACGTCTCAAGCCTGACGTACCTGGTCTACTTTCATGGTGGCTCAAAGCATGAGCTTGGTGATAACCAAGCTCCATCATTCAAAAATTGTGTCCTACCGTAGTGCTCTTCTGTATATGGATGAGGTAAAGTAGTCTCAGGAACTTTGAACTTGACTTTTACATGCTTTCCTTTGCTACTGGGCTTCTCCATCTTAACTTTTGGCTTACTTTCTTGAGAAGACTCCTCATTGTATTCTTCTTCACCTTTCTTTTCACTAATAAAGTAGACTTGGTCTTCCGATTGATCTACGGATGATGGGACTTCTTTGTCAAAGAATTTGAAAATTGCTTGCTTTCCGTCTACCCGTAAGATCAACTCACCTTTAAGTACATCAATCAGTGCTCCTGAAGTTGCCAAGAAGGGTCTTCCAAACATTACAGGAATTGTGGCATCTTCTTCAATGTCAAGGATGACAAAATCAACAGGAATGATGAATTTGTCTACCTTTACCAATATGTCCTCAATGATGCCAGAAGCTTGCTTTGAAGAGCGGTCAGCCAGTTGCACTATCGTCTTTGTGGGCTTCACTTCAGTAATCCCCAACTTCTTTATCATGGAAAGTGGCATGACATTGATGCTAGCTCCAAGATCACATAAAATATTGCCCACTTCCACTTTGCCTATACTGCATGGAATGCTAAAGCTCCCTGGATCCTTGACTTTGGTAGGTAACTTCTTTTGGATGATAGCATTACATTCCTCCATCAGATTCACCGTCTCACATTCCTGCAACTTATGCTTCCTTGATAATAGATCCTTCATGAACCTTGCATAGTTAGGCATGTTCTCTAAAGCTTCAGCAAAAGGAATGTTGATCTGCATCCTCCTGAATATGTCTAGAAACTTTGAATATTGTTGCTTCTGAATCTCTTTCTTTAATCTCTGAGGATAAGGGATTCAAGCATATGGGGAGAGATCCAATGGCTTGTTCTGTCTTTCAAGAGCTTTCTTCTTCTCCCACTTGAATAGTTTCTTTTCGGCTTTTTCAGGATTGCTTTTGTCAACTTCAATTGTATCTTTTTCCTTTTCTTCCTTCACTTCTTCAACTGATGCTTCTCCATCCTTCTTCTTTTCTTCGGGCTGCTCCTATATAGGCTGAATCACTGTCCCACTCCTAGTGGTGATAGCATTGCAATGCTCCCTTGGATTGATAACTGTGTTGCTTGGAAAAGTACCCTGAGCTCTCTCAGAAAATTGCTTTGACAACTGGCCAATCTAAATTTCCAGATTTCTTATGGAAGCTTCTTGATTCCGGTGTGCTGCTCTAGTCTCTTGCATGAAAGAAGGTGTGTCCTCTCTGAAAGCATTTGCACCTTGAATATAATCATAAGTGGTCTTGCATAGTTGTGCAAAAGCTTTCTCCCACTCAGAAGTGTTACTTTGTTGTGGGGTATGTGGTTGCACTGGAATGGGAGGATTGAGCTGATGGTTGGATTTGTAATTCAACCTTGGATGTTGATTCTGATTCTTCTGATCATACCAGAGTCCGTTTACTTCAGCATTTTCAGGTGCTCTCATGAAGTCGCAGTCTTCAGTAGCATGAGTAACTGCACATATACCACAAGTAATTTGAGGATTATTAACATAAGAGACTTGAGAATTAGCAATTTGCTTTGTGAGAGCATCTAATTGTGCTTGTTGTTTCTTATTTATTTGCAGTATTTGTTCATTCTGGGACAACAACACATCATAGCAGTATTATGTATTGCAATAACAACATAAACGCATATATGAAAATGCATACATGTCCTGTCCCAAAACATGATCAAATACTAGTCTTAAACTTACATCAAGTAAGCGTGACAACATCCATATACCATGGTATATACAATTACATAATCTCCAAAACATAACAACAAGATTATTAAATAGTGGCATAGATAACCCCTATGCTCACATCAAATAAAACCTACATGATCAGATATAAAATAACACATAGTTTGATACATAATCATCATGTCCAAGAAAACATAGGCATATAAACTAAATCTATGCATGTCACAAGCAATATCTCTACTCCGGCCTCTTGCCTCTAAAAGTATCCATCTCATGAATATCTGAAAACTGTGCCCCAGACAAGGTGGGATTTTGACAAATCTCAGTAAACTAGGGGTTCTCGAAGGATCATTTCGCCCCAAGTTCACTTTTGGTATAATAGTACAAAAATAGTATAAGCAATATAAAATCTATAGGATGCATCAACATATATATCGTGCATGTATGCTAACAAGTCTACTGGCCAGAGAACGGTATGATTTACACATGTCTGCTATTTACATTAGAAGCATAAGGCATCCACCTTATACCCACACTCAAGGATTACCATCTTGTGCGTAATACACCACATCACATATATATATAATCGTGCATCATTTCATAAATTCAAGTTCCAAATAAAACACATATATTATATTAAACAACCAGTCTCCTATGGAGTTTGGTAGAACAAACGGGGATTAAGCCTGAGAATCGAAAACTTACCTGTCAGCTAAGTCCTCCAACAACGACTTGGTGTCCAACGATCACCAAAATATCACCAACATGAAGTCCATCAAGGTCACAATCTATTTTCACAACATACATACCATCAATAAATATATACTAGCTCCTCAAGCCTAATAAGACTCTATTTCTTTTTTGTTTCGCGCACTGCAGGCTTCTTCCAAATCCCCGAGCACTAAATTTCATGGTTTTAGGCTTAGATTAATTTTACAGAAGCTCCAATAGTTCAATTAAAGACCTATATCATTAAACTAGGTTCTCTTAAGGAAAATGAAATAAAACTCAAAAACTGCATAATATTTGGATATTCATCAAGGGCAAATTCGGATATCAATATCCAGATATCCATATTTAGATATGCATATTTGGATATCATATCCGGATATTTCGTGACAGAAATGCAGAATTGCATTTCA